GCTTATAACTATTACTTACAAAAACGTTTTGACTTGCAAAATTATTTATTTTTTTAGGGTGTTTTAGGTGCATTAATTTCGATCAACACATTCATTTTATTAAAAAGTTCCAGTTTGTCACAAGTTCTTATTTAGGTAGCTTATGGTTAAGTAACAATAAGACGTTACAAACATTAGTACCATTAGATAATTCAAATGTGAAAACACGTTTTCTTGACTATCGGCCGAACAAACGCATTGCTTTGTCCTTCGTTCCAAGACAATTTAATTGCTGACAAAATTGTTTTACAGTGCAATAGCAACTAGTGAAAGACATCATATTTTGACATTCTAAACGTCAATATGTGATTTTGTTTGTAATGTATTCACCGCGCATTTTAATTTCCTAACTTTCAGACTGCGTGTTCACCCAACCCATGTCAAAATGGCGGCCAATGCACCGTGAAAGATGGAGGAACAAACTACACCTGTAATTGTACTGGTCGAGGTCATACTGGAAGAAATTGTGAAATCAACATGGTATGAATAATGACAATAACCACACTACTTTTTAAGTTCATTTTCTTTAATTCGATGTTTTGTTGTTATAGTGCTCGCCGAACCCTTGTCAAAATGGCGGACAATGTACCGTGAAAGATGGAGGAACTAACTACACCTGTACTTGTACTAATCACACTGGAAGAAATTGCGAGCTAAGTAAGTAATAATAATTATCTCCGATGCAAACAATTTTCTGTGTAGGTGATAGATTGTCTGTGTAGGATAATTTGTCTGAGTGAGTGATGAGATGTAATATGAGGGGGATGGGTGAGGGAGGGATGATTAGAAATAATTRGAAATAGTAAGAGAAATTGTAAGAGGGACTAGAATATTTAAATGAGAGATAGAAAAACAAAACAAATGATAGACATAAGAAATAGACGAATAAACAGAAGAATAAAAGAAAGAAAATAATGATAATAAAATGATATAAATGTATATATATAGGGAGATTATGTAGATATATATACATTGGGAACATATATACAGGGCTAGGCAAATATACAGAACTTTTATGGTAAGAACGTGTAATTTGGAAAGCCAGGTATATAATAATGATAAGGTATAATTAATGAAATGAAGAAAAATAAATAAAACGGATAAAAATGGTGAAAAGACGAAATTTACGTAACCTGCGTGGGACGAGCTCGATAAAATGTCGCGTGGTGATCTCGTAGGGAAGGAAGGAGCGGATAATGGTGAACTGGGGGAGGCAAGGGAGGCCAAATGCACTGGCTACCGTACATCATCAGGGGCTGAGACGGTAGACAGAGTAAACTTCGTGTTTCAATGCAATTAAGACGTCTTRAAATTGCTCAGCCCTACACGATGCATTGGCTCGACGAGATAAACACGCGGCGAGTTAGAATTGAAACTAAAGATAGTAGTAGGTTAAAGGATTCTTCTGTTTATTCGTCTATTTCTTATGTCTATCATTTGTTTTGTTTTTCTATCTCTCATTTAAATATTCTAGTCCCTCTTACAATTTCTCTTACTATTTCTAATTATTTCTAATCATCCCTCCCTCACCCATCCCCCTCATATTACATCTCATCACTCACTCAGACAAATTATCCTACACAGACAATCTATCACCTACACAGAAAATTGACTGCTTATTACAGGGAAAGTCTTGTATCCTCACGGATCCCAACACTCTCTCCCATCCCCAACCCTTGTTCACCTCCCACCCCGAATACAGTGTTGGTACGAATACCTGTCCAGACTTACATTTACATTTACACCTATATTCATACTTTCACCTCTCCTTACATTTATATTCATACTTTCACCTGTCCTTATATACCCAATTTTTTAAGCAGCCCGTGTTCACGCTCTTCCTTCCACACCCGTCCCCGTTTACACATACTCAAACTACACAC